GAGATACCCAGACAACATTTTTCCTTCAACAAACTCCAAGATCATGAATGGGCCTGCCGCAGATGTGGCATTTCCCAATACACCCGGGATTGGAATGTAGGTGTTATGTATGAAGTAGACCATGACAGCACTCCAATATTTAAGTTGTTTTGCCTAAACATTGACTTTCCAAGGGCAGGAAACCGGACAAGCACATCGAGTCTCTCCTGAGCTTGACTCATAACAGCGATTGAATGGACCTTGAGATTGAGGTATGGTATCAATTGGCTTGTAGCCAATTCATCTGCTCTGTATTTATCCAAATACCTCATCCACACAATGAACATGGCGTTGCTTTTTTTTTTTTTTTTTTTTTTTGCAGGCCACCATGCGGGTGGCCATTGCGATTGTGATGCTGGACAGATGATATGGGCGAAATGTATACAGACGTCAAGTTGTTGGGGGGGAAGATCTTTTGATACTCGGTTCAAAAATGTGGGAGGATAACGTTGTTGTCATTACTAAAACTAACTACGCGAGAGCAACACAATATGTTGGGGGGCACGTGATAGGGTAGCTGTAGTACCACTAACACCCCCCCGTGCTACGGCGCCGCCAAAGCTCTGCCGCCCGGGGGCCCCCCCCTTGCTCAATTCTTCTAAAAACGCAATAATAATTAATTACAAGAATCAGACCCTGATTTCCTCTTTGGGAATAGGCTCCCGTATGGCAATAACCGTAAAAAACAGGATAACACAAGCAAAATCTGTAAACTCCCGTATCATCATTACCTTCACCCCTTCTTGCCAATTTCCATTAAGCCAATCCTCTTAACAAATTCTTCGAAGGCAGGCCTTGCCAGTGGCTTGGTGAGGCCGTCAGCTATATTGGCCGTAGAACCAACGTGTTCCATCATGATTTCGCCTTTTTCAACCAGATCGCGAAGGATATGGTATCTGATCTCGATGTGACGTGACCTCCTTGTCAAGGACTCCCCTTTTGCTAGATCTATCGCGCCCTTGTTGTCAACTCGCAGGTGCGAGCATACCTTCGCTTTCCCTTCTACTAATCCAGCATCAAATAACATGTCATTCAGCCAGATCACTTCGCACGCTGCCTCACTTGCCGCGATATACTCCGCCTCAGTGGTTGATTTTGCAACTGAGGTCTGCCGTTGCGACCGCCACGAGATTGGTGATCCGTTTAGCAGGATAATGTAACCTGTAGTTGACTTGTATTGGGGGTCTGCCCCTGCCCAATCTGAGTCGCTGTACGCGACAGGACTGAGTCCCCCAATCATCTCCTTCTTGTATAGGATTCCGTGATCCTTCGTTTTCTTGACGTAGCGTAGGACGTGTTTTAATGCTGCCCAGCATTCCTTGTGCGGACGCGAGTTGAAACGTGAGAGGTAGTTGACCGCGAATGCCAGATCTGGTCTGCTGCTTGACACCAAATACTGCAGCGATCCTAAGCCTTGACGATATCTAGTAGCAGTAAAATCGTCATCTAACCCGCTATCTTCATCTGGTGAGAATTCTAGGCGTATGCCGGCCGCCATCGGCGTGCTGGCCGGGTTGACCTTGTCCATTCCAAAATCCTCAAGGATCTCATCGATATAACGGTTCTGGGTAACCGCTAGGTCGCCGTTCATTTGACGTTTGACTTCCATTCCAAGGTAGGGCTTGTTCTCTTCGACATCCTTTGTCTCAAACCTTTTAGCAATCTCTGCCAATATCCAGTCTAATTGCTGCTCTTGGGGTCCCGTTACCCGACAGTCATCGACGTGCAATGTCAGGTAGATCTTGCGAATAGGGTGATATAAGAATCCGCCATCGTACGGCGAGATTTTGAATCCTAGAGTGGTGAGGTGTTCCGTCGCAAGGAAATACCACACCCTCGCTGCTTGCTTCATCCCGTAAAGGCTCTGGCGGAGCAGGCCAACCAGGCCCCCCCTGCCGTGCTTAATCCCTGTAGGCAGTTGCATATATACCATCTCGTGCTGCGGTAGTATGCCGTTCAAGAACGCGGAGACGTAGTCGATCGCCTTTGCTTTCCACCCCTTTGCTGCTGAAATCGCGAATAAGCTCCGGGACGTGGGTCCTGATACCACCGCAGCGTACGACTTTGTATAGTGGACTCCTTGCTGTTGAAGGAATCCCCTAACCACCCAGCGAGCTCTAAACCGGATTGTCTCTCCCTTATTGTTCAATTTGCGATCAAACACCCATTTACCAGTTAAGATATCCATGTTCTTTGTGGTAGGGACTGCCCCATCTACCACCCATCCTTTCCCATAGATCACTCTTCGCACAATAATATTGATAGATATAGGGTGCCCATCGCCCCCCCAATCCACATCACGGTCGCTATCAGTATCAAGATCATCATCGCCTGTGGGATCATCATCACTTGTAGGATCGTCATCGCTTGTAGGATTGTTATCGCTTGTAGGATTGTTATCACTTGTAGGATTGTCCTCCATTGATCCATCCAAACATTCCATCTTGGAATCCATATCAATATCCCACACTGCCGTAGCCGCTATCATCACTGGTATCGCTGATATCATCACCAACATCATCGTTGGCGTCGTTGGCATTGCTGGCAGTGTTGGAATTGCTGGCAGGCCGCCCAGCAAAGATATCTTCTATAGCTGTCCACAGAGCATAGGCAGATAGTTCCTTGGGTGTAACAAGATAAGATCTTGCTTGCGGAGTGATTGCAAACCACATGTAGTTATACAGCCACATATTGCATTCTTTCCAAAACCGTTGCATATCAGCACTGGCATCCTCTTTGGGTCCAAGTTGTCTCTCATCTATGATATCAATTGTATGAGATTGCCTCGCTGCGAGGAGGATCTCTTCCCTCCACACTGAATAATTCACAAAACCAGTGAGGATAACTGGCTCCCTTATGAATCTCACTTGGTCACGGAATTCATTAAGAATCTTCACAATAGCAGACGTTCTGCCTTTTCTCTGCAGATAGTTTGCTAAATCTGCATTAATGTTCTCATCACTAGCAGAGGGTTCACCTCTACTTGCTTTCATCTGTTGGACTTCATGCTGGAGTCTCGCGATCTCCAATCTCATGCGAGTTTCCTCACTCACATCATCACGGCTACTAGAGCCACCCGCGTTATCCGACATCTCATTGTTGTCAATTGGGTCTTCGTATTCGATATTCGACTTGTTCGATTCTTCTTCGATTGTCTCGTCGGGTTCAAAAGCCCCTGGGGCAATCACCTTTCTGTTGGTTGCAGGTGTTGGTAGACCTGCGTCCAGTCCTTCTTGTTGTGCCTCCGGTGTTTGAGGACTTCTTCTACGCGTCGTCACGTAGTCCTTCGTTAAATCAGGCGTTCCACCCGATCTCAGATTAACCATTAGGTTCAAATCACTTAACAGCCGTCTAGGCACGCTTTTAACGATGCGTGGAGACGTAGTTAGCACGTTATTTCGCAGCTCTTTCGTAGCTTATAAGGGCCATAACCTGTGGGAGGATAACGTTGTTGTCATTACTAAAACTAACTACGCGAGAGCAACACAATATGTTGGGGGGCACGTGATAGGGTAGCCGTAGTACCACTAACAAAAAACAGACGTGTGTGACAACGAAACGGGGAGTCGTGCTGCGCCGTCAATGAGCTTAATAGGTATCCAGGTCTTTGATTTGGTTGTGTTATATCGGCACAGGCTTCTTACCGAAATCATCTCGACTAGCAAATTAGACCCAATGCGGGTTATCTGGTGTCAGCTTGTGGCGGTTCGAAGAATGATCATGTTCAAAGGACAATGTCAAGAGCACCTGGTTCTAACCGTTTCGACTGCTGTTTTTCCATGTAACATTTACACTTGCAGATATGATCCCCTCTATCCAATCCACATAGGGGGCGTTCTCATTTTGACACTTGTGGCTGGCATACAACAAGTATGCTGCAGAGCTTACAGGTGGCATACATATCAAGAAGGGCACCCAACCGCTGATCACGGAGTGCCACTTCAAATCGACAACTCATAAAGGACATTTCTATATCACTTCCGTGAGTTGGTGATGGCTTTGCCGCCGGACGGCTTTATGGACGAGTCAATCATGCTCTCTAGATAACAACATTCAGGGGGTAACTCTCTAGGGACGATTTCTTATCAAGCTCGCGCGCGCGACAGATTATCCCAGCGTCTGTTCTGTCGACTGTCTTGTACGTCACGTTATCACGAAGATGGCCTCCTGAAAAACATTTTGAGCCTTTTATTGCTTTCAGGGAATATAACAGATGCGTTCCTCAGATCTATGTCCGGTCTTTAAGATTGCATGTATTCGCCAGCGTCGGGATATCGCAGATCCGAATTTTCCTCCAAGAAATCCATCCAACGTCGTAGGAATTGGTTGCCACTATTGATAAGAGGACCAGAAAGTGGAAGGCCATGAGTTAAAACGATGTCCACATATGTTGCTAATAATACACTTGGTTCGATGTCTTGATGGGAGGAAATCGAAACTTTCATAACGATAGCTAGGGGAGATAGAGGAGGTCGAAATGGAAACAGTCATTTTACTTACCCACGAATTGTTTCAGAATCCCCACATATGCACAAATGACGTTTGGGACGGGTCATTGCGACTGCGAATTTTGGCGTCAGCTAGGTTTTGAAAGACATTTATTAACTCATGTAATTGTCTGCTTCATCCTTATGGCAGTTGCTGACATTACGATGGCTGCTACTGTTCACACAGAGAAAAAGCAACTGTCCATGGGATCATTGGAAACGAAAGCAACGTACCATTTAATCGCCTCTTCTCGGCAAGAAACCCAACTTCATGCTCTGGGTTGCTACGCACAAGACTCACGATGACAGCCTCCTTCTCCCGTCCTTGAAACCCATCCACGCTCCCTAGTTCGAGTCCAGGATACTTGTCTTTCAACATGCTAGACAATAAAGCTAACTGTGCATTGTATGGCGTCACGACGGCGACATCTTCTGGTTTTACACCAGCCCCAATTAAATTTTCAACGTGTCTAGCGACCAGATATGCTTCCATTTCATTACTCTTACTCTCGGCAAAGAGGGATATCTGCTTCTGCTTCGGCATAACAGCAGGTTCCTCGACTTTCTCGGGGAAATCTCCACCCTGGGTATCGTAGAATACCAGTGGTTCCCGTGTGTCATCAGTCTCTTCAACTTCATAAGGCAAGTCCTTAAGTAATCGCAGTTTCACTGCATCTGCGGCGATCAGCTTTGATTCGTAAAGTTCTTGTGAAGGAAATTGCATGATTTTCTCATGCATCCGATACTGAGTTGTTAGCATCCGTTTGATGGCGGGACCATGCAGCGACAGCAAACGATCAAATAGCGTCATTTCGAGTGTCCCTCCTTTTGCTTTATGCTGGCCTACATTGCTATCCTTGCCCATCCTTAGGACTGATTGTTCGTCGTCTGGTGACTTCCCGTTTTCCACCCCCCCGCTAAATTTCAAAGTGGCAGACTTGACAGTTGGAGGCAATTGCAGATGGTCACCAGCCAATATCGCCTTGGAAGCAGACAACAGTGGAACCCAACATTGAGCCTCCAGCGCCTGGCTTGCCTCATCAATGATAACCACGTCGAATTTCTGGTTTCTCAGCTGATGCCCACCGGCGCCGTGCAATGTTGCCAGTACCACTTTACAATCCGTAACAAGGTTACCAACACATTTAGACTCTCGTTCTCGGAACTCTTTACGTAGTTCCTTCAGATCTCTGTAGATCTCTCTCCTCTCCCTCCCGCTTCTTGTCTTGCGTATACCTGCCTGCTTAACTTCTATCTCCTTCCTGATGTCCTTGACAATGGCGGCAGCGTCTGATGTTTGGATTAAAACCTCCAAAGAGTGATCCAAAACAGCTGATAGAAGGCGGGCGGGATGTCCAATTCTAACCAGGGGCACTTTGTGTGGAGCCAGTCGTTCAACAATATTATCCACTGAGACGTTCGACGGACCGCACACTAAGATACGAAGATTTTGGCGGAGAAATTGCAGGATTAATTCTATCAGGGTGTATGTTTTCCCAGTGCCGGGTGGACCATGGATAAGCGCAATTTCTTTCGCCGCAAGTGCAAATTGAATTGCTTCCCTTTGTGAGTCGTTTAGTGTAGGATCAATGAACTCGATTGTCCCGATGGAACTCAAATCCACGGGCGAGGGTGTCGAATGCCCAAAAACCACCCTCATGAAATATGTGTAGTCTGACTCCGTCATGCTCCCCAATTTGGCCATAATTTGCTTCATCCTGGGTAAAAATTTATTAGCAAGTATGTTCACGTAGTTTCTGTTACTGACAACAATATAACCTCACCGTCGGTATGTAATATCGTTCGCCAACTTCACCCTGCAATGTATGACCCATCAGTCAGCCAGCAGATCCGGTGAGAACCAATTGTCTCCTTTTTCCACCGCATCAAATGAATAATGCACCAAAGCTCACATCCAAACCTTCTTTCCCCACAGATCCTCTATAGACTCTTCATCTCTCCCCTTCCCACCAGCGACCCTCTGGCCTCCAAACGCGACCCAAATACTCCGCTCCCCGACTCTAGTCACAACTCCCTCCAGGGCCTTATCTTTTCTCTCCTCCTCCTTTGATCCTCTTGCCCTACCGCCACCACCCCGAGTTCCCGCCGCCACATCCTCAACTCTCACGACATCGCCCACCCTCATCCCATGAGCGCCCAACCTCTGCGGCCCCCCATCACCGTTCCCACCATCACCATTGCTTTCCTTTCCACCCCTCGCCCCAGATCCAATCGCACTGTCCACACCGAATTCGCCTACCTCACGTCCACCCATTCCCGTCCGACAATTGATGAGAACCAGGCCTATGAGGGCATAGCCTGCGGCCTGCAATGTGCGGCGTGTTGAAGCGGAAATGCCAGCTGATTGTGCAATTGATGCAGAGAGCGGTGAAGAGGCAATTTCGGCTTCATGTTCTGCGAGAAGGAGTTCTGTTTGGGTTTGGGCGAAGGCTTGGATGGGTATTGGAGTCGGCATTGGGGTGCGGGGTATTGGAAAGGGATGAGGAGGGTAGGGGACGTCAATTAATTGGTATTTTTGTATATCTAGGTCGAATGTGGAGGGACCAATATTAGGGTAGCAGACTGGGAATCGGATTTAAAAGTGAATGCCATATCACTTTTGTTAAATGCGTGACAGCGAGCGAGCTTGATGCTCCTTACAATGTTGTGGCTGATGGGCGATGATGATGATGTAAGAGGACGAGGCCGGTAGTTTACTTAACTAGGTTAAAGCGAAAAAATCAAATTGAAGTATGGGGAGAATTATATATGTATACCACAATTACTCTGTAAAATGTATTAATTTATTATTAAATATAGGTTATCGTACATATCTTTGTCACCCAATTTCCGTCCCGTCGACTTTGCATAGAGAATACAACAAACAATCAAAATGGTCCATCGTTCCACTAGGCCAGAATTGCGAATTTCTCGATATCCCCACGCGTTAAAACGGATTTTCAATTGAAACCCCAGAAAAACGACATGTTATCAGGGTATCCAGATATTCAGGATCAGAACTCTCCAAATCACCTACCTTCAATTTTGATCCCTATCTTACTCTCCCTCTTTACTACCATCTCAGCCTCCTCTTTCTTTACCTTCCTCTCCTTCTTCACCTTGGCCGTCCACCCTCTGATCTCACTCTTACACAACCCGGTTCCCGCAAGCTCACACTCCCCGCATCTCCTAGCCACTGGTAAACATACCGTCTGTCCTAGCCCAACCAATAGCTTATTAATCTCATGCCACTTGTCCTTGGGCAACCAACTCTCCAGCGCCGCCCGAGTCTCCTCAGGTGTCTTTGTCTTATGCCACCCCCACAAATTCGTGATACGATGCACATGAACATCGACGCCTATGCCCTCATCACGGCCCCATGCGGAACTCATACAGAGGTAAGCCATCTTCGGCCCGACGCCTGGCAATCGCATTAGTCCCTCCACGGTGGGTGGAATGTCAAAATTATACTCGTCTCGAAGTATGATAGCAGCAGCTTTGATGTATTTTGTTTTGTTGTTATGGAAGCCGACACTCTGAATGAGTTCATTGAGGCGGGCTGGTTTTACGGCAAGGATGTTCTCGAGGGTTAAGGTGCTTTTTGTGTGTTGGTTGTTTTGGTCCCACACTAATGCTTTCTTTGCTTCCTGCTCCTGCTCCTCTTCCTCTTCTGCTTCTCTTTCAACTTTCACAGCCCTTTTCTCCTCTCTCTTCATAGTTTGCTCCCATTTCTCCTCTTGTTTCACCGTCTGCCGGCCCTCCTCCTCTCCCTTCACGGCCCATACTCCATTCTCCTTTATTGAAACCACCTCTTCTTCCTTCTTAGTAGAGACCATCACTTCTTCTTCTTTTATGGAGTGGCCCTCCTCCACTTCCTCCTTCTTTACGACCAACGTCCCAAAATCCGCCTCCCTGTTATCACTTTCAGGTCCCAGCTCTGTATGCAACCGTTGCATAGCAATGGCAGTGACGGTATCTTTCGTCTGCGACGAAAGCATCAGGGCTATGAGGATGTGGAAACGCCTTTGACGCGGGGAAGAAGAGCGCCAGTAGAGCTGGGAGCAGCCCATAGTATCCACTGGTGCGGTGGGGTTTTTGCGACGCATTTCCTTGACGATATCATAAATATTTTCCCAATTTGAGGGGGGTTCAACTTTGACGACTCCGTTGGCGCCGGTCGATCTACGCGCCGGTAGCCGTCGTGATCGAGGCTTTGGGGTTGGTTTCGACTCTGTCTCCTCCTTTTTGATGATAGTAGGCTTTTCCGGTGTAGTGGATGTCCTATGTGATGGTGCTGTTGAAGCCGATCGCTTGATTTCATTAGACAAAAAATCATGATCGCGTTTCCTTTTCCGGTCTTGCGATATTGCCCGCGCTGGTGCCAGGAGATCCTCAATGTCCGTGGGATTCGCAGAGGAGAGTTCAGAGTCATCGTGACTATCACTCTGGGGCTCGGCTCTTGTGGAGCTGCTATGATGGGAGGCTAACTCGCTTTGTCTCCTCCTGTCCGCTAGGGGGTAGCTGTTAAGTGAGTTTTTCGCGTTGGCAATCCGCCGCGATTGGCGACGTGGAGCCGCTGACAGAATCTCAACAACCTTTGCTGTCTCCTTGGAGACTCGTGACGTTCTCATTTTGGGTTGAACTAATATGTATGGTAATATTCATACATGCGCTTGTCCGCAGTCGTCTAAAAGTTCGAACCCCCTTTTGTCAACATCAATCAGCAGATAATGAAAGTCACGTGGAGATAAGCCAATCCCACCAGCCTCGGTACAATTGAGCTCCATCCTTGGAAGCTTCCATCTTTCATGATCAGGAAAAATACTCCCAAAACGCTTCCAGGGGTATCTAACGCACAGCCTCCCGCGATCAATAAAAACGCCAAAGCAGCATGGCCCAACAGTCTCCCTCCGCATCTACCACAAAACGGCTCATCCGTGAGCTCAACGACTACGCCAAATCCCCCAACGAAGCTCTCCTACACCTCGGCCCCATAAACGATACGGACCTGTTGCGCTGGGAAGCAGTCCTCAAAGGCATAAAAGACACGCCATACGAAGGTATGTATTCCCTCCATTCCCCACCCACCTGCAATTCCCGAGCTTGTCCAGGAAAAAAAAAAGACAACAAACCAAACCAGGAAAAGACCGCGCTAACAATCCTCATAGGCGGCCTCTGGCACCTAACTCTTACAATCCCGCCAACATACCCGCTCCACCCTCCAGCCATAGCCTTTACGACCCGCATCTGCCATCCAAACGTCTCCTTTACGACGGGCGAGATCTGTCTAACCCTTCTCACCACTGAACATTGGAGCCCTGCATACACGTTGTCGACGACAATGTCAGCTATTCAGCAGTTGTTGACGGATCCTAGGCCCGAGAGCCCGCTTAATGTCGATGTGGCGGTGTTGATGAAGAGCGGGGATACTGTGGGATGGGAGGGGTTGGTGAGGTATTGGACGGAGGAGGAGAGGTGGGAGGGGCATGGGAGCCAGAGATCTCTCGAGAAGGGAAAACGATGAGAAACAGGGACAGAGGGACGGGGACAGAATTAGGGTTTGACGGATTTATATAGCTCTCTCTGTACTTGATATGAGGTGGGGAGCTCATGGATCGAGGGATATATACACGCTTTTACACCCATACCATTTTTCTTTTCCTTGATTTTTAGCTGTATTTTTTTTTTTTTTTTTTTTTTTTTTTTTTGGATTTGGATTTGGGATACCCCCCTTTCGCAGATTCTGGGCTCTGTATGGATGGCGTGAGAGTGAGGCGAGATGTCTGCAACTTTTGAGCGCGGCTGATTGCGAATATGCTACTCGAATACATGGAGCACGTTCGAGCGATTTTTGGACTGGAAGTTAGCGTCCACTTTATTCTCCAGTGGAGGCATGCCTGTAAGAGGTGGAATAAGTTTTGGGCTTCCATCAACGATTAAGTGTGTTATACCGTCGAATGAGTTTTTCTTTTCCTTTCTTTCTTTCTTTTTTTTTTTTTTTTTTTTTTTTTTTTTTGGAGATACCATGGCGATTTTTATTTATATGCTATGGCATATCTACATCACTTATCCATATTCGGCGAGTTTTACTCTTAGAGCCCTTTCTCGCGGAAAAGAAGGAGTGAACAAACAAAAAGCTGATGTGCAAATGATTTCCTTCTCCCTCAATTGTGCCTCTACTCTGCATCTCTCAAATAATAATAATTATTATTAATAACAACGCTTGAAGAAGGCTTGATCAAGCGGAGAGTGAGTTACGTACATGCACTAAACTGATTTGCATCGATCCTATGACAAAATAGTAAGGGTTGAAAAAAGAAGCCTAGCAGTTCATTGAAACTTTGACTTACAACCAATTTGAGGACCACCACATAGTTTCATCACAAAATGCATTCATTGTCAGGCCGGGGGGAAAAAAAAAAAGGGAAA